TTTTTATTTTTCAATGTTTTTAAAATGAATATGGTGCCTGCAATGTATATATGCTGCATGGCGCCATCGATTGCGAATTAATACCGTCTGCTTTCTATATAGGTAGTGTTGGCGGCGGTGCGGGGATGAGAGAAAATACGCAGTTGATAAAAATGTCTTTGAAATTGAAGTCATACTCATATCTATGCGGTCAGTGAGTGTATATTGTATATTATAATCATAGTGTAGGGAGGTTCAAACCCGTAAATAATTTTTTTCAAAATCTAAATAGATTATAATCTATATCATGTAAGAGAATTTATACTTCTGTAATTTTATCCCAAGTATCGTACATAAGTAACATAACATACCTAATAACTCAAAATTATAATATATTATTTTATTATAAAAAAACAAAATACAAAAATTTGTTGTTAAATTTAACTTATGTATTGTCTTTGTCTATAACATCTTACAAACGTACAACATACCAAATTGTGCGTTCACAATAATACACATTCTATTCTGTAATTTCTAAAATTAAACTGAATTGACCTCTTGTAAAATTGAAATGTAAGATTATTATCTAGACCCTAGATAATAATGATGCCCTACTTTTCTAGATTTTAGGATATCTCAAATTCTTTTAATAATATTTTTATTGAGAAGCAAGGTATGACATTTTTTGAACGATGCACATTTTGACTTTATTTGTATGTAGTAATTTTCAAATGATCGCAACGTTTAAAAATAAAATGTACATCAATAAAATCTTCAGAGATGCTCTAGATAATAATTTAAGTTTGAAATTATATCATGAGACAATTCACTCCAATTTTATTATTKTTAGAGTAAAATTGTGCGTGTTAAACGTTGGCATAAGATGGATACAACACATCGGGATGTGGCGTCCTCTTAAATATTTTTTCTAACAATAATATAAATAATAAATAAAATCCCATKATAAATTATAATGATTCTATCACCTACCAATATATTTTTTTTACATTGCCAGCACATGTCCAATAAAAACAATAATAATTTTGACATTCCACCTACTCAATTTTTTCTAAATGGCAATATAATAAGTCATAATAAATCTTCATTAACACACTTTTTTGTAGTATATAAACTAATACTATTACTATTTTTTTGTGGCAAATATTATTACAAAACATCACCATATGACATATGTTTAAGCCAATTGTAAAAGTGAAACGTAGGTACTGAATAGAAACCATAGTCTCTACCAAAGTGCCGGGATTATAGGTACTTATATGAGTATTATTGTTTTAAAATTTGCCTAGGTGCTTACCAATAGCAAGTATAAAAAAAGTCAAAGGTTGGTGGTTTTAATTTCAGCCCCAATAGTAAAATGTTTGACAGCCTGATTTAATCTGCCAGCAAAACATAATTTATCAATGGCGTATTGCGATGGTAAAAGTTCTTTGACAATAAAACTATTGAAAAAACAAAAATTGTATAATATATAAATTAATAAATATTCACTATATACCTACTTATTAGCTTACACGTTAGTATAATAAAAATAACTTACGTATGTCTTATACGATTATTATTCGAATATATATTGTTTCATCTTTACAAAAAAATTATTTTCAAATAATATACAGTTATATTTAAAAATAAATATATATAGGTATCATCAACCGTCTAYTAAATTACGAATTTTTAGTGATTATTTAATTAAAATTAAAAAGCAACACTTTATTAGAAGATATAGTTGGAAATTGGAATAACCATGATGGTGTACTCTTGATAATATTAAATAGAGCTCTAAAGTAAAAACAATTGCTGAAACCAGTTAATTTATAATCACATAATATACTTAATAATACAAATATTTATACCCAGGCAAAATTTACAATTTCCTAGCGCCTAGAACTGACTATTTGATTTCTGATAAGACCTAAACTTGTCGTGTTTTGGTTCAAAAAATTCGTCCAGTTTTTCAAATTCAATGAAGTTCTGGTTTGATCTGTACACAAAATACATGGTTYGCTATATAATTAAGCGACTTGTARTCCAACGTGTAATTATAATTACCTAATTAATATTAAACTTATTAAGGCAACATAGTAAAATGTGCCAATAATTAGCTAACAGAAGTGATGCCAATGTTGATTTTAAAATAATTGAATAATATTTTCACTCTTGTTTAAACATTAAATGTTAATATTTTTATCGCCCAGAAACTTCTGTGTGAGTGAGAACCGCTATTTMTCTCTTCGAT